CGCTACGGTACCATAAAATATCGAGGGGGTCAGCCCGGATAAAACCGCGCAAAATCAGAAAATTCTCGCAGTGTAAAAGAACGCGCTGGTTTTTTTAGATGGCCATGCTGAGAGTCGCAGTCGCCACTCTTTTTAAATCAAGTCCCAACTTTTATAAACATCTGCCTGGCTACCAAAAAGCGTAACTACCACTTATGGGGGAAAAACCAAAAAGCAGACAAAAACACACGTGCAGTGCAGATATACTTACAATATGTTTGTCGGAGATGTTCGCCCCACACTGCTTGCAGCAGCTTCTTTATGTCTTGAAGATATCGATGGATGGCAGCCAGTAGTCTGAAGTAATCATTAAAAACTAGGAAATTTGGCGAATCTGAATGCATAGTGCAATGTTGTCTCCACGTTTGACAATCTACCATTCAGTAGTAATGGGAAATATGGGGATCGGGGTACCTTGAGGTACTGCATAGTTGATTAAATCAACGATTGCAATCTTAATTAAACTTTGAGTGTAGATTTTTTCTCATGACCACATTGTGACTATTGACAACAATGAAATCTACCGTCATTATTCTGGTTCCGGACATTTGAGTAAAATGTAGAAGTTGTTATTTGAACCGAGCTTTTATTTTAGGCGTTTCTATTCAACTTCTTTTTCTAGGCCCTATATGGTGGACTCTATTCATGCCAGGTATGGTGGAGGAAATAACCTTGTTCAACAACAACAACAACCCGTCCTTGCAAGTGCTATACCCCAATCAGATCCCTCGGATGCCATAGATGGTGACATGCGCAATTTTCCCGATCAAATGCACACCGGCCTGGTTGATCTCTGTGCTGCTGCGCATGATGAACTGGTTGATTTGCACTCTACAAACGAGGGTGGATACATCTCCCCATCCTCGACCGCCTCTTCTATGCCCGGAATGGGTGATTTGAGTATGACTGTGGGTGCAGCGCCTGTCACTACAGTGACAAAGTTGCCGGTCGTAAGCATCCCCC